AAATCGCTTCCATAATGGCCCGGAAGCCCCTGCACTTGTCTTCTTGCAAGACAGACGTGATTTGTGGTCTCAAATCAGCAACACAAATTTTCGGAGTCATACTGTTTCGATATGGGGAGGGGGGATTTTTCCTTTTGATACGCGGCCGCCAGCGGTGGCGCAGCTGGAGAAGTCCGTAGAGAGAGAATAGTCTTCGGATAAATCATTATCTTGATTTACATCGTCTTCAGATAAAAAACCTTGTTGCTGATCCTTCTTTTTTAGCCGCCACCTCTCCACTTCCCAACCCGGCTTCACATCCAGTGTGTACGTCGGTATCCAAGAAAAAAACATTGTAGGTGTAACTTTTCTGGTGGAAGAACAGCATTACAAGTTTGCCTGGCATGACAGCAAAAACCTGTCATGCGCAGATAGCACGTGAAAGCGCCCTTTAATGGACCCTAAGACGCATGCCAAGCATGACAGACGCAATCATCTTGCATGTTGCGCATCACAAATTTACACTATCAACGTTTTTTTCTTGGATAGTCGGTACACCGATTTCGCTCCGAGCGGGAGGAGCTATGACACTTGTCACTGTCGCTGGAATCCAAGTTTTGCTGGAGCCGGAGAAGTACAATACTTCCTCGTCTTCTTGATAAAACTGTAGTCCGCCGTGTTGTCTCGACGTCCCACTTCTCCTCGTCGTCCCAGCACGCTGGTCAACTTTCACATGCGCCAGCACAGGCGCCGCGCGATTCGCCAGCTGTACCGCAAGCCGCTCCGCATCGGCGGCGTTTCCGGTGCGCAGTGCTTCGTTCAACAGGCCTATTGTGCGGTCCCATTCGTTCAACAAGGCCGCGATTTTGCGCTTTTCTCCGTCGGCTTGTGGAGGTGCGTTCTTCATCTTTTGAAAACATCAAAGACTTAATATTGCCACGCGTGATCAATATGATGTATCACTTCTCGATTGTAATTACATCACTTGGGCTTCAAAGCCGAGCCAATTTTCGCATTCTTATCTCTCGCTGCAGCTCATCTGCGCGGCGGTTGGATCAGGAATCTTTGACGGTGACTGCTCCTCTCTGAAATTACCACCTCTCAACATTTCTGATTTACTTATGTGCCCGAAAAGAAAACAGGTCATCCACGTATCGATCTCACTTCTTGCAGCCTCCCAGAAAACAGTGCAGAAGCGAAAGACCTCCGTGAAGATGGCAAGAAAAGGACACGCACAGCAGAACGCGGTGACGAACCAGCGAGGTGGACCTTGTTCTTACACCTCACCCTTCAATGCGCCGGCCGAGTTTCATCTAGTTTGGCGTTCCGTTTGCTTCAATCTTGGTCGTGCAGTGCGAATTCAGGTGTTTTTTCTTGAGGACAAACGGCTGTCTTCAATATGCTTCAAGTACAGAGACCTGTGGTCGTTCTCCGACCTGTCTAAAAATATCCCCGGCCTTTATCTTCTTTCCGTGTTTTCATGCGATTGGTTCCAACACGGCACAAGCGTGCAGCATCGCATATCTTCGCATTAAAAAGAAACAACAGAACTGGTGGACACCAACACCGATGATGAGTGTATGTATATGATATCTACAACAAGGGCTTGCGCTATTCTTTGCATGATGAAGATACGTTCTCTTTATAAATTCCACAAACAATGAAGGCTATGTTGCTACTAGTACGAATGCAATATGTAGAAATTGCGGTGCGTGACCGAATATTATCAATGAATGTCAATCTCCAAATCCATCTCATAATATCACGTAGTATGTTTATCAACATCAAAACATTCTTGTATGTTCTTCCAAATCCCCATCATGTGCAAGAAAGCCAACATCGTGTTGCTTATGTGTAATGCTCTTTCTCCCCGCACCAAAATAAAAGGAGAGCACAGATGACAATTAAAATTTTTCAGACTTCTTCACTGCAGGTGCAGAACAAGTCAAATAAGGGGTATTTCTCTTGTAGATAGCCCACTTTGGTGGAGGTTCTGAACAAACGGCTGCTCAAAAGGACAGGGGAAAACTACAAAGCAGAACTACACTATCAGTAAACCGCTGCATCAGCGCTCTCGGAAAAATTATCTAAATTTCTAATAACGCGTTCGATTTCCTTGTAGAAGAACGCACATGCGTCAACGGTCTTTGCATGCATTTTTGACATCCTCAGTCTTCCTCGTCCGACGACGGGTCGTATTCCGACCCATGCATAATTTTTGACATCCTCAGTCTTCCTCGTCCGACGACGGGTCGTTTCGAGCGTCGTCCGACGACGGGTCGTCCCCCGATGACGGGTCGTATTCCGACCCAAACAGGCGAGCATGCCATCCCACCTCAGGCACAGATTCACCCTCGGGCTCACCTTCATCAACCGAAGAACCTCCGTCCGGGGGAACGTAGAAGTTGAGGCACTCATCCACGCGGCGTTCCAATTCCAGCAATCGCGCCCCACACGGGTCCAGTGCGGCCAATTCCTCGGCGCGTATCGTAAGAAAAAATCCCCTTTCCCCATATCGAAAAGACACACTTCAGAAAATTTGCCATGCTGATTTGTGACCACAAATCGTCCCTGTCTTGCAAAGAGGCAACCCCACAGGCCCCGCCGCATTATGTAGGCGGTTTGTGATGCTACTGGGCCTATAGCATAGGCCTGTCGCATGCTAAGCACCTAGGCCAGCACCTCTCTACTCGGGCTTGATATGGGCTTGCAGTCCTCGACTGCAAGAGAGATCCGATTTGTGTAAGCAAATCCAGCATCAGAAACTTCGTGTCGATATGGGGAGGGGGGATTTTTCCTTTTGATAGCGCGCTCGCGGTCCCCTGGATCGGCAAACCCGGCCTCCAGCGTCTCCCTATCGAGTGCAAAAAATATGTCTGGGTCTGGAAACCTGTGATGCATGTCGGTGAATAGAAAGCGCATGGTGATGCGCCGCCAAGCAAGACAAATTTTTCTGTGGCTCCATGTTGCGTAATCCGCATGACAAACAGCCTTCTTGCACGACAGACAAGAGGACCTCTCGCTGGCCACGCAATACAGAGCTCAGCGTCATGCCAGACTAGCATGACAAGTCTTGCACTCTTCCGGACCCAGACATATTTGTATGTAATGCATACAGCCCAAGGTCGCGCAATTCGTCCAGCCGCGACGAAGCTTCGTCCAAAAATGGGTCGACGAGGCCGAGGTGTCGGTTGAATAGCTGCGATGAGGATTTTTCAACATCTTCACCGAAGTTGCAGTAGAAGCTGCCAGAGGATACTGCAGGAGACCCACCATCCGTCGCAGGAGCACTTGGCGCAGCCGGCTTGGTCATGCCGGCGGGGGGCCTGCAGCGAAACAGAGTTAGCGCATTTATGGGCTCCAAAATGCTGCTCCTGCATGAACCTCCTTGTTCCCCTGCACTAGGATGAACGAGATCTCCTGACGAAGAAGCTGCTGCCGCGTCGGAAGATGATGCTGCCCCGGTGGAGGAGGTCCACTTCCTCCTGAAAAACTCGCGACACATGCGATGCGCGCACTTGAGTTCTTCTTGTTTTTCCCTGAACTTCTCTATCCGCGCGCCCGGAGTGTTGCCGTACTTCTCGTCGGCGCTGCTGTGCCAAACCCGGACAGCCCGGGGACGCAAGGAACAATCGATTTCCCGCTCGGTTTCTTTGCACAGCCGCCGCAGCCACAGCATATCCCGCTCCCGCTCCCGGCGCAACTCCGAGGCCAAGGCCTTGCGCTTCCGCTCGTTTTCGGCGACCATGTGCCCGGCCACCCGTCGCCCGAACTCCTTATGCATTGCGAATATGTCTGGGTCTAAACGATTCTGAGACTTGTCATGCACGTTTTGCATGGGCCATGACGTCTGTGATGCATGCCCTAGCATCACAGATTCTTTGAGGGGTTCTTGGTACCTATTTCGCATGACAAATGCACTCTCAGCGTAGCACCAATTAGATTTAGATTCCTTTTGCTGGCCTCGCAATACAGATTTCCTTGGAATCCAGATGCAGCATCACAAGTTTACACCCTTCCAGACCCAGACATATTTGCAGTGCATACTCCTCCCCACGGGACAACAGCGGTTTTTGTGCTGCACGGGGCGGCGACGTCGCGGTGCCACTTATCAGAAGGAAACATCCCCCCTCCCCATATCGAAACGAAGTTTCTGATGCTGGATTTCCGTACACAGATCGGATTTGTCTTGCAGTACAGGACTGCAGGCATATGTCAAGCCTCGGCCGAGAGGTTTTGACGTAGGCGCCTAGCATAACAAACGTGTATGCTCTAAGTCCAACAGCATCACAAACCGCCTGCAAAATGCAGGGGGCTCTCTGGACTTGCCTTCTTGCAAGACAGACAAGATTTGAGGTCACAAATGTGCATCACAAATTTTCAGATGGATGCGTTTTCAATATGGGGAGGGGGGATTTTTCTTTACGATACCACTTGCCCCAACACCAGCGTGATGTGTTCCAGAAGGACCAGACGGATCTGAGCCGCTACCGCCCGGCGTCGAGGCCGCACCACCACTCGACGATTTCAGCGCAGGACCCTCACCAGAAGTTGTATGCAATACAAATGCCCCGTAGTACATGTACAAGATGCATCACAAATTTCACCAATTTGGAGCGTAAGAACACTTGCCATGCTAAACTAGGAACGAAGCCCAGTTTTTTCATGCAGAAACTGCATTTGTACGTGTACGGGAATAAATTTCCTGTAGATAACTTGTACCCTCATTGCACGAGGGGGACGCAAAGGACCAGGAGCCCCTTTGCAGGCCCGACCTATGATCCCCACAGCCCGTTTGTTGCAGCATCCCCTCGGCGAGGTGCTTAAGCTCGACCGGAAAATATTGCTGCACGAAATGGTGCAGTAGCCTCCCGACGTCCCTCTCGTCGAGCAGGACCTCTTGACGTACGCGACCAGTGACAGGATCGGCAACGAGAGTTTTGTCAGGCAAATCAGTTTTGTGCCACCAGTCCCACCTGTCCAATTCTGATTCTGAACGAATTCGCAGGTTGAACAGAAAACGGGCTAGTTTGTACAACACACCAGACTTCCACAGAAAGTACTCGTAGCAAGGGCGCTCTAATTCGTCTCTCTTCGCCAGAACAGGTAGTTTCGGAAGAGACAACTGGCCGCGAGCTGTATTTTCGTGGACTTCGGCAATTGGAGCGATTCGGTGATGCCGGTCGTCGGTGCAGGAATTTATTTCGTGCAGTTCGTCAGGCCCCCTCGCAACGGCCTTAGCCCAATACTGCGTCCAGAATTTTCTGAATTCTGCCTCCATCCATTGCGGCAAGACTTCCGCCTTAAACTTTTCCTTCCAAGCTGCCAACGCGCGCGCGCAGGCCTCGGACTTGCAGGCGGGGTTTATTTTCAGCCGATTTATTTGTAGTTCATCTTCATCGCAGCCTGTTGCCTCGTCCAATACCTCCTCGGGACTTTCACTTTCTGCCCGCTCAAACGCTGGCAGTGGACAAGAATTGTTGTATAGTAGGCAATCCTTGCGCTTCAACTGCTTTAGCATGTGATCGCTGGCTTCGTCACGTAGTGTGGTGGAAGACATCAAACTCCTTTTAAAGTAGTCAACACAAAAACGCCAAGAAAAAGCGTCGTTACCGCAGTCAACACGAAAACGCCTATCCTGTTCCACCCGATGGCGCCGAAGCTTTGCGCTTGGCCCGCGGCCATACAGATCCATAGCGTGGTCGGTCCATCGTCGGGAATCCGCGTCACAGGGTGCGGTTTCCAAGAACTCTCTTTCAGGGGTGCTATCACGTGCAACCTGTGGATGTGGTACATGATCTTGTGGTCATATATCTTGTGGTCATATACAGCGACACATGATGACTCCGAAGCTGCAAGCAAAATACTCACGGAGCCCTGCCTTGCCGCCATGCAAAGCAAATGTATCAGAAGACTCCTAAGTAGTAGTTGTCATAAACTTGAGCTTCTGCTTATCATGCTCTTATGCTCATACGAGAAGAGCCCCCAGTGTCACAGCCACGCCATTAACATCATCAACTTCAGCAGTTTTGCACAGGATAGCACTCTAGCTGCAACATCCTCGCCACCACAATCAACCACCGCCCCAAGGTCCGCGAGAAATAAGGCGGTTTCTCTGCCGAATACAGTGGGTTCTCTTCCAGCGAAAAATACCGCCCAGTGCTTAACGGGGGACGACCAGGCGGTGACCCACCACGTGCTCGACAACCCTCCATCACGATTTTGGTTTCCAGTCGTTTACGTCCGATATCTCTATAGGACCAAAAACATCGCGGCTCGCGGGACGGACACAATCTAACCTTGTCGAAAAATCGCTGCTCGCGGGTCTCCGCATCGCACAGCCACCACTGCTCGTCAAACTTGTCGTGCAGCGAAATTTCTCTCGGAGAGGAGAAAACGTAGGATGGAGCGACGGAGAAAAAGTGGGGTTCTGCCCGTGAGAAATCGTAGCCTGGTCGTGCGCTTCTACCCTTAGTACTCTTCCGGAACCAGAAATCATTCTGAAAGTGAAACTTCAGCGTATCCGGCTGTCTGTACCGCAAACCTTCCTCATCTGAGGGGCGCCGCTGCCGCACACGCTGCAGGCACACCCGGCTACCATTATTTCCGCCACTTAAATCCGTGTGTGCTTTAATCTTAAACCGAACTGAACCGTTACTTAAATTATAACCTGGCACTTGTTCTGAGGACGCACCAGAGGACTGCTCCTGCGATGCAGCTGCACTAAAAAATGCGGACTTGAGTAGGGGAAAAGCCTCGATTTCTTTACTCGGGTTCCGATATAAGAGCACAAACCACGGGTGCGCGTTACCCTTCTTCTGTTGCGCCAAGCACCACTGCTCCTGCAGTAGCGGCGTGACGGCGCCATCTGTTCTGCCAATGTCTTCCGCGGTGGGGGCGTAGACCTTCCACAAATAGTCGAACGGGTCGAATTCCAGTTTCTGCACGCAGTGGCAGTGTTCCAGCACGGAAGACCACTGGACGAGGTTCGAATCCCCATGCAGGAGACCACCGCCGACCTGGTTCATGATCTCTGCCCGGACCGGCGGCAACCCGAGCCCTTTGTTATACCCGTTGGTAAACTGAAACGCTATGGAGAGAAAAAAGTTTGTCACAGTCACTAAGTTGCAGGTTTTGCATTACAAATCTTTTTTTGCATCACAACTTCTCCTTGTGTTGCAGAAACACTAGGGAAATCCCTCTCGAAGTGTGGCTGTGATGCATTTTTACGCATGACAGACAGTTTTGTCTTGCAAAAATGCCCATGAGTGATCGTGACGAACTTTTTTTGTTTGATAAACGCATCTGTAGTTTTAGTACTCCTTGAAGCAGACTCGCACCAGTCGGTACCGCGAAAGGCGAACGCCTCAGCAAGGGCGCGGGTCTGTCGGAATGAACTACTCCAGCCCCGCGGTGAATCTAACAGAGTGAATTCCGCATCCCCCGCGACACAGAAGTGGCTACTTTCGGCCGTTTTTTCCGGTAACCGCATCAAGCAAACGCCGTCGACGGCGGGGTTCATCGTCTTCGAAGATTCATTTTCGTCCAAAGATGACAGCACGACTCGAAAATTCCGCCGCACGTAGGTGTCCGGACTCTCTGCTCCTGCTCTACCCCGAACAAAGTACAGGAACCGTGTGCTGGCACTGGCCTTCTGCTCCTCCTGGCAAAAAGCGGCCGCTTGCGCTCGTTGCGCTTGCTCGCTCGCAGATAAAGAAATATCAGATAAAGAAATCGCAGATAAAGAACTCGCCGCTAATTTCAGTTTCAGATGCAGGTTCGGATTGTAGACGGCCCACTGAAAATCCGCTGGATCATAGGCGAGTCGCTGGACGCAGTGGCAGTGCTGGCGTTCCACGAATCGGCGCCGTTCCAAGTAGGCCTTGAGCACGGCTTTTTTGTGTTCATGCCATAGCGCACCCGAAGCTTCTTCTACTTTCTTCGCTCCTGCCATGTTGACTTGCCAAAACCGATCCATTTCGTCCTCCATGTCGGCCCACGACATTATGGAAGAAAAAAAGTGTGTAAGTGTAACTTTGTAATGCAGCACACGCAACAGAGTTACACCTGTCATGCCAGACAGCCACGAAGTTTTCTTTTCCTGTGTGTTTTCCCTTACAGGCCACGCATGACAGCTTTTCTCTGTCATGTAGAGCAATTTGTGATGCTGTCAGCCAAAGATAGTTACACTAACACAGTTTTTTTCTTGCATAGACATGATCCCTGTGTCCATGGTCTCCCCACGCGCATCGCGGCCCCGCGCCGCTCGGCACTGCGGTCGGGTTAGATCGGACACGCAGACATACGCAATTTTCCCCGTCAGCTGGGCAAACAAGCGCGGCATCTTCGTCAACAAGTTTCTCAACCGCGGCGGCGGGAGCTGCGGGGTCTCGTGATTTTTATACACGGAGGTGTCCCTTCCAGACGCGGCCTCTTGCCACTCCCACACCGTGGGTGCCGCGAGTGGTCTGTGCCGAGTCGACCACTGGCGCAGCTCGTCGGTGCCAACCTCCTCCCGCGCCACCTCCTCCAGCTCTCGCACAGTCATGTCCGCGTGCGGGTACAGCCGCAGAGAGGTCAAATAGGACCACGGTGAGTAGAACCGGTTTGCTTCGCCATGCTGCGTATAGGGTGTTGTTCGTGGTGCTGCCCCCCCGACCGTTTGACCGACGCGCTCCATGGCTCGAAAGTGGGCCAAGACATTATGGCGTTCCCAACTGTTACATTCTCAACTGTTACATGAACCTGTGATGCAAGAATGGGAAAAGTGGAAGGGGGAAGGTTGCATCTGTAGCATTACAAATTCCGCACAGATTTAGGCACGGTTTAGGCCTTCACAAATTTGTCATGCGGAGCAGCTTGATCGTGAGGATGATGATGGTGCTTCTGCATGACAAATTCATGTAACAGTTGAGAATGTCAAGATTGAGAATCCCATAGACATTCGTGCCGTTGCTGAAATACAGGTAAAACGGGTTCTCGCGCACCTCTTCGCGTTTGGATATCGTAAGGAAAAATCCGCCCTCCCGATATCAAAAAGGAAATTTGTGGCGCTGGATTTGCGTACACAAATAAACTCTCGCTGTCTTGCAGTAAGACATCGCAGCCAGATCCTCAGCCTAGGTAGGCGCGTTTGGGTCTAGTTGTTTGGAATTACAAACGGCTGCCCCCTAGGCCCGGCAGCATGTCAAATCGCTTCCATAATGGCCCGGAAGCCCCTGCACTTGTCTTCTTGCAAGACAGACGTGATTTGTGGTCTCAAATCAGCAACACAAATTTTCGGACTCATACTGTTTCGATATGGGGAGGGGGGATTTTTCGTTTTGATATTGGAGCGTAGGAAGCCAGACCGCAAGCCGGGCAAGTCGAAGCTCAACGCGTCCGTGTGGTCGAAGATGATGTTGGTGGCTGTACTAAGCTCTAGATCCTTTATTCCGTCATCGCGTGGTTCAAGCCCAGCAGGAAAAGTCGTCGCAGTCGCTCTACTAATCTTATCAAATGCAAACATGTCTGGGTCTGGAAGAGTGTGATGCTGTTTGTGCATGGCACAGAAGGTGTAGCATGTAAGTCCTAGCAACACAGATTTTGAGGAGGTTAAGCGATGCCTAATTATCCCCATGGCAAGTTTGTCCCTCTTTTGGTGACAAGAAATGAGCAACTTTTGCGTTCCATGCATGACAGATTTTTTTCTACTGGTCTCAAATGCGCATCAGAAGTTTACATGTTTGTGTTTCTAGACCCAGACATGTTTGCAATGCATACATCGCTACACGCTTCGCCCCCGTGGCGGAGGCCGTTGCCAAGGCCCACGCGGCAGTGTCGAACGGGGCCACACTGACAAACCCGTGGTCATCCGGGGCCTCGAACTGAGCTGCGGCGGTTAGGAATTCTTGGTTCGGATCTCCCGAATGTTGCTCAGGCGCGGACCCGTCGCCCGCGACGGTTGAAGACGCTGGTGCAGACGACGATGCACTGGCGCCACTGCTCGGCGACAGCGAGGACTCCTCGGGGGATGTAGGAGCAGTGTGCTGACCCGAATGACGAGACAGAGGCAACGACCAAAATTTCGCCCCATGCGGTCCCAGCACGTGCCAACGCAAAACCTGGTGTGCAGTTGACGGCTGGCGCCACGGCGACGTCGCACCGCGTGTGGTCGAAGGTGACAGCACCGCCACGAGAGGCCGCAACATCGTGATCTCAAAAGCATGCCTGTTTTCAGAGGGACCAAGGACACCATACGCCACGAGGTCCGCAACAGTAGCGGTCGGATTTTTCTCCCCTGGAAGAGACTCGCCCCGGAAGGTCGCGACGTCCGTAGCCACAGTGTCAAACGCAAATAAGTGTCTGGATCTAGACGTTGGCTCCACTTCCAAGACCTTTCATGCATAAGTACTTGGCATGCCCCTCGTGGTTCTGTAGTCTCCGCACAGTTCTTTCCCATGCCCCTCGTGTCACGCACAAACGCAGTTTCCCATGCGGACTACGCAACACAGAACCACACAGAGAAAAATCTGACATGCTTGGCTGTGTGTGCATTGGCTTCCGATTCGTAAACAAGCATTCCAACTTTCCAGACCCAGATCGATATTTGCAGTACATACACATCGTAGTGCTGTAAAACAGTGGTAGAAGCACCGGCGAGAGGATCCACAAACTTCCGGGAATGCAGGAATTGCCGCCAATACTCGTCTCGCCGGGCGTTCCTGATAACCCAAATCCCGCTCAGACTCACCAGTGGCCGGGCCGAGAATCCG